TTCATTAATGGGATGAGGACATCACTGGCTAGGCAGCATTTATTGACCATCCCAGAGGGCAGTTACAAGTCAACCCCATTGTCTGTGGGTCTGGAGTCACGTGTAGGCCAGACAAGGTAAGGATGGCAGTTTCCTTCCCTAAAGGGCATTAGTGAATCAGATGGGTCTTTCCTACAATCAGCAATGGATTCATGGTCATCATTAGACTCTTAATTCCAGGTATTTATTGAATTCAAATTCCACCATCTGCTGTGGCGGGATTTGAACCCGGGTTCCCGGAATGTTATCTGGGTCTCTGGATTAACAGTGCAGCGATAATACCACTAGGCCATCGCCTCCCTGTAAACAGTAACCCCTGGATTCTCCCACAAGAGGAAACACCCTGTCCACAGCCACCCTGTAAGAACCCATCAGAATCTTCTATGTTTCACTAGCTGTGTCTGATATTTCTATGACCAGTGTGGAACAGCGATAGATAACTTACCCATCATTCTTCAGTTCCTCTATTAAAGTGATCATGGATCGTGCTGGCCTAAAGGAACCCATTCAGGATACCCTGTACTGAAGCTGTGTGTACAGTTTTGGTCTTGAGATTGCTGTAGCCAGTTTACACCTATGGTTCTTCATATCTGGAAGCATTTTAATCCATGAAGGTTCAAGGTGTTAAAACATGTGATTGATTGTCCATATTTTACCGTTATTGTGACTGGTGTGGGAGAAATCCAACAAAACACCAAGTTGGGAAGATTGTGAGATTCGATCCTTCACTTTCGCTGGGTCAAAATCCTGGAATTCCCTCCCTAATGGCATTGCGGGTCAACCCACAGCACATGGACTACAGCGGTTCAAGAAGGAATCTCACCAGCACCTTCTCAAGGGCAACTAGGGAGGGGCAATAAATGCAACACCTGCATCCCATGAGTGAATTAAAAAAACTGCTGAGTTTCTCCAGCAGTTCTTATTTTGGTTATTCTCCTCTTTACTCACTTTGCTAGCTTTTTGTTCCTATGCTTGTCTCTCTTGTTATCACATCTTCCTTTCCTGTTTGTATCTGTAGCTTGAAGACTCTCTCTCCACAGATGCTGCCAGACCCGCTGAGTTTCTCCAGCAATTTCACCTTCTCTATACAGATAAATATATTGAAAAGTGAATAGTTTTAAAAAACAAAACTTTTTGGCATCAAAAATTATCAGTCTTTATGGGGATCCTAATGGTACACACTGTTCTATGTATAAATCATCGGAATACCTCAAATAACTCTGTAATTCACTCACTTTAATGACCTTAATGTGCCTTAATTACTGCTGTTCAGTGGCTCTGACATCCATCGTTAAGAAGTGCTTCGAGAGGTTAGTAATGGCCCACATCAACCCTACCCTCCCAAATTGCCTCGATTCACTGCAATTTGCCTACCGTCACAATAGGTACACAGCAGACACCATCTCCCTGACCCTATGCTTATCCCTGGAATATCTGGATAACAAGGACATCAATGCTAGACTCCTATTTATTGAGTTTAGCTCTGCCTTCAACACCATAATTCCAAACAAACTCATTGCCAAACTCGGAGACCCAGGACTCTGCTTCCCCTCTCTGCAACTGGATCCTTGACTTCCTGACCCGCAGACCACAATCAGTAAGGATAAACAACCACACCTCCCCCACAATAATCCTCAATCCCGCGCCCCGCAAGGCTGCATACTCAGCCCCCCACTATATTCCTTATACACTCACAACTGTGTGGCCAGGTTCAGCTGTAGCTCCATTTATAAATTTGCTGATGACACCAACATAGTGGGTTGGATCTCAAACAGTGACAAGACAGAATACAGGAAAGAGATAGACAGCTTAGTGGCATTGTGTAAAGACAGCAATCTCTCCCCCAATGTCAGCAAAACAAAGGAGCAGGTCATCGACATCAGGAAGTGGAGTGGAGGGTACACCCCTGTCTGCATCAATGGTGCTGAGGAGGAGATGGTCGAGAGTGCCATATTCCTAGGAGTAAATATCGCCAACAATCTGTCCTGGTCTATCCATGTCGAAACAATGGTCAAGAAAGCACACCAACACCTCAACTTCCTCAGGAGGTGAAGGAAATTTGACATGCCTGCAATAACTCTTACAAATTTTTATAAATGCATAGAACCCCTACAGTGCAGAAGCAGGCCATTCAGCCCATTAAGTCCACACTGATCCTCTGAAGAGCACCCCACCCAGACTCAACCCCCTACCCTATCTCTGTGACCCTACATTTCCCATGGTTAACCCACCTAGCCAACACATCCCTGGACACTATGGGCAATTTCCCATGGCCAACCCCCCCTAACCTGCATATCTTTGGACTGTGAGTGGAAACGGGAGCACCTTGTAGAAACCCATACAGACAGAGGGAGAATGTACAAACTCTACACACACAGTCACTCAAGGGTGGAATCAAACCCGGGTCTCTTACGCTGTGAGGCAGCAGTGCTAACCACAGAGCCACTGTGCACAATAGAAAGCATCCCATCCGGATGCATCACAGCTTGTTATGGCACCTGATCTGCCAGAGGCTCCACAATCTACAGAGAACACAGCCCAGTCTATCATAAAAACCAGCCTTCCATCCCTGACTCCATCTACACTTCACACTGCCTCGGGAAAGCAACCAACATAATTAAAGATCCCTCCCACCCTGGTTATACTCTCCTCCACCCTCTTCCATCGGGCAGAAGATACATAAAATTGAAAACACATACCAGATTCAAGGACAGCTTCTTCCCCGCTGTTATTAGACTTATGAACGAACCTCTCATATATAAGAGTTCATCTTTCTCTGCACCTTCTCTGTAGCTGTAACACAATATTCTGCAGTCTGTTCTATTCCCCTTATTCAAGGCATGATTTGTCTAGTTAGCACACAAAACAAAACATTTCACTGTATCTTGTTTCTGTGTGACAATAATAAATAGAATCAAATCATTATTTGACAATTAAACTATCTTCTTAACTCTGCAATTAGATATTCCAGCCTGCAAATCACTCCAAGGTATCCATTATGCACCATCTGAGTTTCTCAGTTATTGGGACATCCTATAAACTCAAACGGTTCGCTGTGGCCTGCGATTTGAGCTTGAGCCTTCAGTGATTGAGTGCTGCGTGGCTGAGTACGCAGGGGAGCTCTGGTATGTATACAGTGAGCTGCAGGCAACTCTGTCCCAGTAAGGAGAGCTCCCAAACAAGTCTGCTTAGCAAGTGTGACAAAATTAGGCAATGAAGCAAGCTGTTTGCATTCCAGATCAGGAATGAAAGCCTGGTAGTACATTGAAGTTTAAACTCTAACACTACCAAGCAAGCCAGGGACAGAATGCAAGAAACTAGTGAGGAACCAATAGAACAGGTACCGGTATTATACAATGAAGAGTTAGTGCTAGTAGTGCCTTGTCATTTTGCCCTCATAGGTATTGTATTTAACTTTCTGTGCAGTACTTTCTGTTGCTTTCCCCTGCTTGCTCTCTTTCTGTCTCTCTCTCTCCCTCATGCAGTCGGATGATCCGTTTTTTTGTCTGATTTGCACTTGTCACTTTTCCTTCTATCTCTCTCTGTCTCTCTCGTTGTCCCTTACTGTATTTGCAACACAATTCAACACTCCCATTTCTTTTGCCCTGTTTCCTTCTTTCTCTCTCTCAGCTTCCCCGTAGTTGGACTGTGTCTAATATTTTTTCCCAAGGGGCAGATCAAATCTGAGTGCTCGTTTTAAAGCCAATGATTTTCATGAGGTGAGATCAGTAATGTAAATGGGCCTATGGACATTACAGAAGAGTCAGGAGTAACGGAGCAATGCAGGCTGCACGTTACCCTCATGCACCTGTCACCTCAAATACAAATTGTTCCATCTCTTTCTCCACACATTACCCGTAGCTCGGAAATTTTCCATGACACTTTCTCTCCCTCCCCACCACATTCGTGCACATGTGCAGCCTTCATTCTTCCTTATCTCCAAATAGGGAAGAAGACACTTTATTGTGAGCCCTGTTTTACCTTTCCTATCTTTCTTGCTGACACAGATCTGATCTTTGTGACAGTAGCACCTCTCCAACCTGGCCCACATTGCTGGCTTTCTCTGGGCTTCTCTTTAGGGTCACTCTGTAACTCTGCACTTACTCACCCACAGTCAGGTTCATACAGCACACAGGGCACCCTTAAGCCCATCATCTCCCCTTCTCTTCACTCACATATTCTTCCACATTGTCCACCTTTTGTTGCACATCTCTTGATAGGTCCTTCTTTCATTCTCTGTCTCTCTGACCCCACACATTTCTTATTCATAACTTTGTTTATTGTCAAAAGAATGTGTGTGTGACTGTGTTTGGGGGGGTGGGGTTTGACTGTTAGAGAGTGTGTGTGTGCGTGTGTGTCTGTGTGTGTGTGTGTGTATGAGAGAGTGTTTTTGTACGAAAATGTTTGTGACTGTTAGTGTGTGTGTGCGACTATATGTGTGTGCGTCTGTGTGTCTGTCTATGTGTCTGTTTATGTATGAGAACGTTTATGACTGTGTGTGTGTATGTTTGTGTGTGTATGACATAAGATCATAAGATATAAGAGCAGAGTTAGGATATTTGTCCAATTGAGTGATTGTGTGAGAATGTGTGTGTGTTTGTGAAAGATTGTCTGAGAGCGTGTGTGCATGAGAGTGAATGTGAGCGCGTGTGTTTGTGTGTGTGTGAGAGAATGAATGTGAGAATGTGTGTGTGTTTGTGTGAGAGAGAGAATGAGTGTGTGTTTACTCTGATGACTGAGATTGATTCTGCACACAGCTGATGGTACCTGGATGTTGTTCACTGCTTCTTAAAGTGTTTCAAGACCCACTTAGCCTGGGGCTGTGCCAAACCATGTCAGAACAGGCTGATTAAAAATAAATAAATACATAAATAATCTGCACCCTTCTTTCTGTTGTTCAGCTTCAGGATCTGGACAACAGGCTGTTTGAGAAGTTTCTGCCTGACAAGATTGGTGAGTCCAACAGCTCTATTTAACGGAGCCCAGGGATTAAAGATGCTAGCTCTGCAAAGTGAATTTTTATTTATAAATCAGATGCCTTTCACATTCTGAGAGTTAATAATATCTTAAGATCCATCATCTGACTGAATGTTCTCAGATTTTTGAATTACGTTATGTTTTGATGTCAGTATTTGAAGCTCTGTTAAATGCTCATTGAAGACACACAAAAGAACATCAATGATCCTCTGGGAGCATCTAGTTATGACGATCCAGCCATCATGAGGCACAGGCTTGATAAATCCATCATTTCTATCTGTTTATATATTTATAGTTATATCTTGGTATGTAATTTTTAAAAAATTCTTTACATGTTGTCACAAGTTAGGCCTGTCTTTATTACCTGTCCCTTATTGTCATTGAGAAGGTGGCGTGAGCTGCCTCCTGGAACCACGATAATTTGTAGTGAGTGTAACAAGGCCAGCCAAGTGGACCTCGTAGAATATGAGCTCCCTGATTGGGGCTGTTAATCTGGTCCAGTCAGGGAGCCCTGGCTGACAGATGGTTTGTGGAGTGAACTTCCAGAGGAAATGGTGGATGTGGATTACAATATTTAAAAGACATTTAGGTAAGTACATGAAAAAGTAATGTTTGGAGGGATATGGGCCACTGTAGATAGGTGTGACTACTTTAGTTTGGGATTATGGACTGGGTTGGACTGTTAAAAAATTAGTGCTGTGTGACTCTTGAGTGCCAGAGGTTCTGTTTACGCTGAGAGCTGGCCCTGAGGGAGCTGGATCAGTGTCAAGGACTCTCCACGTGTAAATAAAAGGTGACTTGGTGATGGGATACCAGCCTCAGTGGAGTTATTTCACAGTCCATGTGCCGCAGGTTGACCCACAATGCTCTTAGGGTGGGAATTCCAAGTGACACCGAAGGAATGGCAATATATTTCCTAGTCAGGATGGTGAGTGGCTTGGAGGGGAATTTGTAGATGATGGTGTTCCTATGTATCTGCTGCCCTTGTCCTTCTGGATGGGAGAGGTTACATCTTTGGAAGGTGTATGGAGCCTTGGCAAGTTACTACAGAGCCTTTTGTAGAAATTTCTTTATTCTGAGTGAGTTGTTAGGCCTTTTCAGAAGGTAGTTAACAGTCATCTCCACTTTGTCTGTCTGGAATCACATTGCTGTGGATCTGGAGATACACATAGGCCAATGGTATAAGGATGGCAGGTGTCCTTCTCTCAGAGGCATTAATAAACCATTTGGGTTTTTATAAAAATTAATGATGGCTTCATAGACACTGTTACTGAAGCAAGATTTTTGCATTGAATTTAAATTCCACCAACTCCCATGGTGGGATTTGAAGCCTTGTTCCCAGAACATTAGCCTGGGCTTTTGGATCACTGGTCCAGTAACAATATCTCACCTTCTCCCATGATGGTACACACTGCAGCCACTGTGTGTCAGTGATGGAAGGAGTGAACACTGAAAGTGGTAGATAGGGTGACGATCAAGTGAGCTGCTTTGTCCTGGTGTTGAGGCACAAGGTAATGCAGTGCCACACCCCCTCTCCTGTCTGTAACAAGTGCTGTTATTTAAAATGTTGATTTTACTATTTCCTTTTTGCCCTGAACAGCAAGCAGTAATGTGTTCCTTCAAATTCAGCTTGTAAAACCCAATTTAAAAATGACCCACTGAAAGGTTTTCAGGGTTAAGACAAAAGGCGGTTTATTTCTGCATTGAAAACCCCATGGGGTGTGGTGATGAAGGAATAGAGTCATACAGCACGGAAACAGTCCCTTTGGTCCAACTTGTCCATAGTGACCAAGTTTCCCAAACTAAACTAGTCATATCCCTCTAAACCTTTCCTATTCATGTACCTGTTCAAACATCTTTAAAATATTGTAACTCTACCTGCAACCACCACTTCTTCTGGCAGCTCACTCCACACGTGAACCACACTCTGTGAAAAAGTTACCCCTCAGGTCCCTTTTAAATCTTTCTCCTCTCACCTTAAAAATATGCTGCCTAGTTTTGAACTCCCCAACCCCATGAAACAGACCATTGCTATTCACCTTATTTATGCCCCTCAGGATGTTATAAACCTCTATAAGGTCGCCCCTCAGCCTCCTATGCTCCAGGGAAAATAGTCCCAGCTTATCCAGGCCCCTCTTCTCACTCAAACACTCCAGTTCCGGCAACATCCTGGTAAATCTTTTCTGGACCCTCTCTGGCTTAATAATATCCTTCATATGCACTCGTGCTCGCTTCTGCTCACAGTCTCAGAAACACATACACGTATACACACGCACACACACATGTTTCAGGGGATGTGATTTCCTCATGGAATTATCACTAATCCAGAGACCCAGGTAATGTCCCAGGAGTTAACATTTTGGGTTCAGTGACCTTCCTCAGAATGGTGTGGGGACATTGTGAGGGGGGTGGGGAAGCTGTTCTGAGCAAAGGGTCACGGGGCCCGAAACGTTAACTCTGATCTCTCTCCACAGAAACCACCAGACCTGCTGAGCTTTTCCAGCAATTTTTTTTTCTGATTTCCATCATCCACAGTTTTTTCGGTTTTTAATGTCCCAGAAAACTGGGTTGAATCCCACTACGACAGATGGAGGAATTTTGAATTTGAATTCAATAAGTATGTGGAATTAAGAGTCTAATGATGACCATGAAACCATTGTCAATTGTTGGAAAAACCCATCTGGTTCACTAATGTCATTGAGGGAAGGAAACTGTAATCCCTATCTGGTCTGGCCTACATGTGACTCCAGACCCTACAGCAATGTGGTTGACTCTGAACTGCCCTCTGGGCAATTAGGGATGGGCAATAAATGCTGGCCTAGCCAGTGATACCCCATTCCATAAATGAATAAATTAAACCACATCCAAGACATAGAAAAAGGTGAGATATTACAAATTAAAAATGATTTGAAATCAAAGATGTCAGAAGCAGTGTGAGTGAATGAGAGAGTACAGTCAGGCAGTATCCTGTGGATTGGTTGTGGACAACGATCTCTTTCATAGGAGCTGATGGTGGACATGTTCTGGGGAGTCAGAAGGTGACTTACTAGTCACACAGTCATTAGAAGAGGGGGTAAACGCAATTCACTGATACAACCTCCCCTCCCCATGCTGATTTAAGTTTCACTTTTGGTCACGTGTTCCCTGTTACTCTCTGTCATCTGCTTTGCCTTTACACTTGATGACAGATTATCTGATCTCCTCAAAAGTGAAACCCAGCACCAATAAAGGAAACATGTCACTCAGCAAAATTGCTTCTCTACTCTCAGAGGATCAAAGGATACCAGATATCTTCATGAAGCTAATCTCCTCTAAAGATCCCTACCACCACTGCAATCAGGTTCATGCTCCAGTCAAGGATGGGATAACATCAAGCATCAAGTTCCCCTCCCCCCACAGCTCCATGATCTCCCTCAACCTCACCCTTAGATTGTCCAACACCATTCGTGGGATATCTGTCACAGAGATAGTAGGAACTGCCGATGCTGGAGAATCTGAGATAACAAGGTGTAGAGCTGGATGAACACCTTCTTCAAAAGAAGGGTCTAGGCCCCAAACATCAGCTCCTCTGATGCTGCTTGGCCTGCTGTGTTCATCCAGCTCTATACCTTGTTATTTCAGATTCTCCAGCATCTATAATCCCTACTATCCCTAGAGTACTGTGTGCAGTTTTGGTCTCCCTACTTGAGAAAGGATGTGCTGGCACTGGAGGGGGTGCAGAGGAGGTTCACTGGATTGATTCTGGAGTTGAGAGGGTTGGATTATGAGGAGAGATTGAGTAGACTGGGGCTATACTCATTGGAATTTAGAAGAATGAGGGGGAATCTTATAGAAACATACAAATTATGAAGGGAATAGATAAGTTGAAGCAGATAAGTTCTTTCCACTTGTGGGAAACACTAGAACTAAGGGGCATAGCCTCAAAATAATGGGGAGCACATTTAGTACTAAATTGAGGAGGAACTTCACCCAAAGGGTTGGGAATCTGTGGAATTTCTTGCCCAGTGAAGTTGAGGCCACCTCATTGAATGTTTTTTAAGGTAAAGATAGACAGATTTTTGAACAGTAAAGGAATTAAGGGTTATTGTGAACGGGCAAGCAAGTGGAGCTGAGCCCATGAAATGATCAGCCATGATCTTATTGAATGACGGAGCAGGCTCAAGGGGCCAGATGGCCTACTCCTGCTCCTATTCCTTATGTCCTTATGTTCTTATCTGACATTATTTCTTCCTCTACAGGACTGGAACCTGATGCTAACATCTATATGAATTTTATGAAAGCACATCAGTGCTATGATGTGATCCCAACCAGTTCTAAGCTCGTCGTGTTTGATACAACTTTGCAGGTGAGAGAAGGGGTTGGGCAGTGCGGGCGAGGGAGGGTGTTCCTCTCTCCCTTCATTCTTTTAGGGGACGTGGGTTCACTGGAAAGACCAGCATTTCTTGCCCGTCTTTAATTACCCTTATAGCACATTGTAGTCAGTGGTGTCACAGGTAGACAGTGTGGTGAAGAAGTCATTTGGCACACTTACCTTCATTGGGCAGAGCACTGAGTATTGGAATTGGGATCAAAAACAGGAGTTGCTGGAAAAGCTCAGCAGGTCTGGCAGCATCTGAGGAAGGGTCACCAGACCCGAAACGTTAACCCTGACTTTTTCTTCACAGATGCTGCCAGACCTGCTGAGCTTTTCCAGCAACTATGTTTTTGTTCCTGATATACAGCATCCACAGTTCTTTTGGCTTTTATATAGGAATTGGGATGTCGTGTTACAAATGTACGAGACATTGGTGAGGCCACTTTTAGAATACAGCGTACAGTTCTGATCTCCATGCTATAAGAAGGATATTATAAAATTGGAAACGATGCAGAAAAATTTTACAAGGATGTTACTCAGTCTGGATGATTTGAGTTATAGGGAGAGGCTGGATAGGCTGGGAAGTTTTTTTCTCTGGAGTGTAGGAGGCTGAGAGGTGACCTTAGAGAGGTTTATAAAATCATGAGGGGCATGGATACGGTGAATAGCCAAGGCCTTTTCCTTAGGGCAGGGGTGTCCAAATCTAGGGGGCATGGGTTTAAGGTGAGAGGGGTAAGATTTAGAAGGGACCTGAGGGTCAATGTTTTCACACAGTAGGTGGTTTGTATGTGGAATAAACTGTCAGAAGAAGTGGTAGATGCAGGTACAGTTACAATATTTACAAGACATTTGGACAGGTGCATGACTAGGAAATAGAGGGATATGGGCCAAACACAGGCAAGTGGAGCCAGTTCAGTTTGGGCCAACATGGTAGACATGGATGAGTTGGACCAAAGGATCTGTTTCCGTGCTGTATGACTCTATGACTCTGGTGTCCACACCTCTTAGCCAGAGGTTCGTTACCTACCTGCTGCAGAGGTGTTTGTACTGAGCGATAAACAGACAAATTGTTGGCACAAGCAGAGACATGTTCTTGGGGCCAGTGGGGGTTTTGGGGGTGCAGGGGAATGTGGGGAAATGACCCTGAATGGGAGAAAAGCTGACGGTTTGCTCTGGTTTCTGCACAGGTAAAGAAAGCGTTCTTGGCGCTGGTCGCAAACGGTGTTAGAGCAGCTCCACTCTGGAACAGTAAGGAGCAGTGCTTCGTTGGTGAGTCTTAAACCCATCCATTCGACCATGATGGGAACAGGGCTTCATCTTATGAGATTTAATTGTCGGTGAGAATTGGTTGGCAATTGGCATCACAACTTGCATTCCTGTAGCACCTACTCATGACACTGGGTGTCCCCAAAGCAGGCCATGCATTGTTTACAAAGTTGGTCTCTGTTGCAATGTGGGAAACACAGCAGTAAACTTACAGTATGCAGTACATAGCAAGATCCCACAGACAGTGATCGGTTTAGTGACGTTTGTTCAGGGAGAAATAACCACAGGTTCACAGAATTATTACAGATCAGGCGGAGGCTATTTGGCCCATCACACCTGAACTAGCTCTATTATCCAGGCCAGTTCTATTGCCCAATGCCAGTCTCCTGCCTCCTACCCATATCCCTGCACACCATTACTATCCAAAATACCAAAACATCCAGTGCCCTCTGGAATGCCTCATTGACCCTGCCTCCTCCATGTTTCCAACAGGCAGTGGAATTCCTCACTGTGTGGAAGAGATTTTCCTCACATCATCCCTGCTTCGTTTGCACATCACTTCAAATTTATGCCCTCATCCCTGTTTTTTTTGTTTTACGAATGGGATACCAGGCGACGTTCATCGAAGTAGTGACTACAGGATTTTTTACATCCCCCTGACAAAGTAGGAGAGACCCTAGTTTACTTTCTCAAGGAAAGCATGGCATCCATGATAACTGTAGCACTTCCACGGTCCTCCTCTAAAGCATCAGGCTAGATTCAGAGTCATAGGGATATACGGCACAGAAACAGACCCTTCGGTCCAACTCATCCACACCTACCAGATATTCTGACTTAATCTAGTCCCATTTGCCAGCATTTGGCCCATATCCTTCTAAACCCTTCCTAGTCATATATCCATCCAGATGCCTTTTAAATATTGTGATTGTACCAGCCTCCACCACATTCCAAACACGCACCACCCTCTGTGTGAAAAAGTTACCTTTTAATTTCCTTTTAAATCTTTTCCATTTCACCTTAAAGCAATGCCCTGTAATTTGGGACTCCCTACCCTGGGGGAAAGACTTTGACTGTTCACCCTATCCCTGCCCTCAATGATTTTATAAACCTCCATAATGTCATCCCTCAGCCTTCGATGCACCAGGGAAAATAGCCCCAGCCTATTCAGCCTCTCCCTTTCGCTCAAATCCTGCATTTCCAGCAACATTTCTGCCCTTAGATCTCTGAAGTGAGACTCAGAGACAGGAATTCAGCCCAGACTGAATCACAAGCCTATCAGCTAACCTCGTTAAGTCTCTCAAATGTTTTGGTAAATTGTAGTGTAGGTCATGTTTGGTTAATGAAGGAAGCACCACCCCACAACATGCATCCCCTCGGTACAGGAGATCATTAAATTGGAGAGGGTTTGGAAAATATTTACCAGGATGTTGCTGGGACTGGAGGGTTTGAGTTATAAGGAGAGGCTACATGGGCTGGGACTTTTTTCACTGGAGTGTAGGAGTGTGAGGGGTGACCTTATAGAGGTGTATGAAATCATGAGTGGCATAGATAAGGTGAATAGCCAAGGTCTTTTTCCTAGTGCTGGGGGAGGTCAAAACTAGAGGGGCATATTTTTAAGGTAAGAGAAGAAAGATTTAAAAGGGATGTGAGGGGTGACTTTTTCACACAGTGGGTGATTTGAATGTGGAATGAACTGCCAGAGGAAGTGGTAGATGCAGGGACAGTTGGAACATTTAAAAGAGATTTGGGCAGGAACATGAATAGGAAATGTTCAGGCAAGTGGGACTAGTTTAGTTTGGCGAAACTTGGTTGGCATGGATGGATTGGACCGAAGGATCAGTTTCGTGCTGTATGACTCTGACGCTGTCATTCAATCCGATCATGGTCGATCATCCAACTCAGTCCCTGTTCTTGCTTTCTCCCCATACCCTTTAATCCCTTTAGCCCTATGAACTACATCTAACTCTTTCTTGAAAACATTCAATGTTTTGGCCTCAATTGCTTTCTGTGACAGACAATTCCACAGGCTCACCACTCCCTTGGTGAAGACATTTCTCCTCATCTCAGTCCTAACTGGTTTACTCCGTATCCTTAAATTGTGACGGTCAGTGAAGGATGATCCTTTTCTGTCCCATACTGCACAGTGGCTCAGTGGTTAGCACTGCTGCCTCGCAGCTCTATGGACCTGTGCTCAATTCCACCCACAAGCGACTGTCTGTATGGAGTTTTCACATTCTCCCTGTGTCTGCATGGGTTTCCTCAGGGTGCTCCAATTTCCTCCCACAGTCCAAAAGATGTGCAGTCTAGGTTGATTGGACATGGGAAATGAAGGGTTACAGGGTTTTGTGGGTTGGGGGTGGGAGTAGGGTGGGGTGGATGAGAGGGTGGGATACTCTTCAGAGGGTTGGTTTGGACTCAGTGGGCTGAATGGCCTCTTTCTGCACTGTAGAGATTCAATGATTGTAGTCAGTACATTTGAAGAGTGTGGGGGCGGTTTAAGATTTCTCAATGATTTAGTACACTGAGTCAAGTTGCCTTTTCCTCCCAGTTTCCCGGCATCACAGTGACTGAGATTCTCCTGTATCATAGGATCGCCACAGCGTGGAAGCAGGCCAATTGTCCCATCAAGTCCACACCGACCCTCCAAAGACCATCCCACCCAGAAGCAGCACCTCCCTACCCTATCCCTGTAACCCTGCATTTCCTTTGGCAAAGCCACTGAGCACACATCTTTGGACTGTGGGAGGAAACCGGAGCACCCAGAGGAAACCCACACAGACACAGGGAGAATGTGCGAACCCCACACAGACAGTCACCCAAGGGCGCAAAGAGGTAGCAATGCTAACCACTGAGCCACTGTGCTGCCCAACTAGAAGTACCTGGGTTAGAGCCTTAATGTCCTGCTCAATGATCAGAAGCACTGTACAGAGTCACTGACTAATTCAAAACTTTATTTGGGTGTCAATGGGATTTTGTAACTGGTCTGCCTGGGTTGACGTTGAGCATTTGTTCCATCATAGTAAGGAGGAGGTGATTGAGTTACAGTCAATCTGTCTCTCTAGCTCTCTCAGTCACTTGTCCTGTTTATGTTGATGCTAACTCTCTCTATATAACTTTTCCACTCTCTGCTCTCTGCAGGTATGCTAACAATTACTGACTTCATCAATATCTTACACAGATATTACACCTCCCCAATGGTAAGCAACAGCCACAGGGTGAACTATATTTAGCTTAATGTCCTCTTCTCCTGCCTGTACCAATTGAACAGAAAGAACTGTGGAATCTGGAAATCAGAAACAAAAGCAGAAAGTGCTCTGAAAACTCAGCAGGTCTGGCAGCTTCTGTGGAGAGAAATCAGGATCCGTTTTCCCAGCAATTTCTGCTTTTGCTTTCAGTTTTTAAAATGTTTCTTTTCCTAAATCCTTTTCGCTCTTAACAGCAGGAGGGTATGTGATCCTCTGAATCCATTTTGTGAAACCTGATTTGAAAATGACTGGCAGCAAATTGCTGAGGGTTGAAACAAAGGGGAATTTATTACTCCAATCAAAAGCTCAGGGGGTGTATTGAGGTGACACATGCATGCATGCATGTACACACGAGCACATGCGCATGCATGTGAAGATGCACACACATGCGTACATGTGCATGCACGCACAGACACACGCAGAGACGCATGCACAGACATCCGCACAAGGGTGGAAATAGAAAGGAGAGAATTTAAAAGTTGCTCGAAATAAAAGATGCCAGAATTGCCTAAAATGAATGAGAATTCAGTTAAGTCAATGTCCTGTAGAATCTCCCAGGGCTTATTATCCACAATGATATCTGTCATTTGAGCTCAAATTCATTGAAACAGCTAGTGAAGGGAGCACAGTGATAAGTTCCAGATTGATTAATTTCACAGCGAGATACAGGTTTATTTCCAGAAAGCAAACTCTTAGCAGATGCTGAGATCAGATGCATATGTTTAGCTGAACCTTAAGGGTGTTACCAACAGTCTGCCAAACAAAAGTCAAAGCTGCATAGTTAAGACCATAAGATATTGGAGCAGAATAGGCCATTCAGCTCATTGAGTCTGCTCCACCATTTGATCATGGCTGATATGTTTATATGAACCTCATTCTCCCCTTACTAATCAAGAATTTATCAATCTCTCTCTTAAATACATTTAATGACTTGGCCTCTGTGGTTCCACAGATTCGTTACCCACTGGCTGAAGAAATTCCTCCTTATCTCAGTTCTAACAGGTCATCCCTTCACCCTGAAGCTGTGCCCTAAAGGGGTTTCAAACAAACCAGCAGCTTCAGGTCACATGAATATCATTTTGGAATTATACAGTAACATCCCATATTCACACCCTTGGCAAAGGCAAATTCAGTAAAATAAATTGTTTCACATGCAATTCTCCAGTCTAGGAGGAAAGATCATCGAGAGAAACTCTGATAGTGAGAGAAAACTCAAGCCTTTTTCTGCAGAAGAGACAAGTATCTAGTAGCTCCCAAACCCCAACAATTACTGAAAGCTGGTTCCATGGGAGCTTGATCCCACCCCTCCATGTTGCATCTCTTGTTCCAACTTTAAAAAAAAAATCCAAGGCTTCACAATTTTTTACCATATTGGCTTGGAACACACTGCTCATCACCTCTGTCTCAATGAGGTGGGTTATGTTTTAGGGGGCACTTTACGGGTCAAGAGAGAGGCTGAGAGAAGGAAAGGGTTAAGACTTGAATTCCAGAGCTGAGCCCCCAGTGTGATGATACTAACATGTGTATTTTGTCCTGGGTTTTTTTTTAATGAAGAGAGCTTAAGATGGAGTGACAAGCAGTCTGTTCCAAGCCAATGAAACAAACAGTTTGTGAGGCCTTGGGGTTTTTTAAAGTTGAACAATAGAAGCAGCCTGAAGGGGTGGGGTCAAGCTCCCACAGAATCACATTTTTAGTTTAGCTTTCAGTATAGGGGTTGGAAGCTGCTGTACACCTCTCCTTGCAGTAGCAAAACACTTGAGTTCTCTTGGTCTCTCACTGTCAGAGTTTTCTCTTGGTGTTCTTTCCTCCTGGACTGGCAAATTGCATGTGAGAAATCTATTTTACTGAATTTGACTCTGCCAAGGGTGTGTTTATGGGATGTTACTATATTGGAACAGTTGCTGTTTGGTAGTTGGATAATCTACTATTATGTTAAGTTTTCCAATAAAGTTAGGTTATTCCAATTCTTCTTCCTTTTGTTTGTATTTTAACTGCAGTGTAAGAAAAGTATGTTTTGCTTCAAGCCTTTACAATAACGAAAAGTTGAGGTCTAGGCTATCTTGTTGGTCTGGTTTGGTCTGGTCTGTAACAACAGGCAGCTGAAAGCAGAACCACCAATGGCAGAATGATTAAAATCGAGGATGATCAAGACACCAGAACTGAAGCAGTGCAGAGATCTAAGAGACAGGGACTGCTAAGGCCATGGAGGGATTTAGGGTTACAATCGGTATGGAGAATACTTGCTGTTCACCTGTTCACCTCCACATTCGCACTGATCAATTTTAGCATTTGATTTAAAATTTTCTCTTTCAGGTGCAGATTTATGAACTGGAGAAACATAGGATTGAGACTTGGAGAGGTGAGCTGGAGCCTAGAAATGATTTGTTTCTGTGTGTGTATGCTGCGTGCATGAGTGTGTGGGTGGGTGAGAGATCTGTGGATGTGAATGTTTTTGCATGTGTATGCATGAGAAACTCTGTGTGCCTGTATGTGTCTCATTTTTGCTGTGTGTGTGTGTGCGCGCGCGCGCGCGCGTGTGCGTGTGTGTGTGTGAGTGCGTGCGTGTGTGCGCGAGAGTATGTGAAGGAACATGTGTGTCCGTGTGCTATGCGTAAGGGAGAGGATGTGAAGGAACATCAGAGTGAGTATTTGTGAATGTGAGAGTGTATTCGAGTGAGAATGTAGGGGTGTGTGTGAGAGAAAGTGTTTGAATGAGTGAGTGCGTGTCTGTGGCTGCGTGTGACTGTGAATATATGTGTGATACAAAAACAATGTTTGGAGAAACTCAGTAGCAGCATCTCTGAAGAGAGAAACAGTATTAATGCTTAGAGTCCAATGAAAAGTCCAGCACTTTCTGTTAAAAAGGTCTGAGTCATGTCAGAGTTGAAATGTTAACTCTCTTTCTCTGTCCACAGTTATTACCAGATCTGCTGAATTTCTCCAGTGTTTTGTTTTATTTCAGATTTCCAGCAATCGCAGTAATTTGTTTTTTTAATATGCGCATGTGCGTGTGTTTGAGTATGAACATATTGCGTGTTTAAGTTGAATCAATGTGAGTGTGTGCCTCTGTTATAATTGTTAATTTTATACAGATTAATTTTTCCTCAAAGAAGTTGTTTGGATACATAATTCTTGAATGTTCATTTTCTGTTGACCAAAATCCTCTCTGCTCATTTGCTTCTCCACAGTCACTAATGGTTTACTGGTGGTTATTTTATAGGAATTCTTTCTCCCTTATATCCCTTATTTTGTAGGAATTTCATATCCTTATGTTATAGGAAATTTAACTCCTGTACGTCCCCTTATTTTACAGGAGTAATATCCCCTTATCCCTTTGTTTAATGGGAATCCTATCTCTCTTATATCCCCCTATTTTACAGGAATTATATCTCCTTATGTTTTAGGAATTATACCTCTTCTTTTTATCCCCTTATTTTGTAGGAATTCCATTCCCTTGTGTTATAGGGATTATACCCTCTCTCTCTATCTATTGAGGAATGCACCAAGAAACTGGGGGAAAACAGATTGGAACATCTAACAAAACTCCTATTTGCAAACTTTCCACTTGCATCAATGCAACACTTTCTAGTCCAGTCCCATGGTTCTCTAATAGTGTGGTCATGTGCACAGGGACCACAGAACTGCATTCCCAGTCTTTCCCTCTTCCCATAACACCAATTTCTTTTTGTGTTTGTCTATATACCTGTTCATACATGTGTGTATCGAGAATTTTCTAAGGTGTTCAAGTTTTAACAAGTGAAGGTATATGACGATGTTTCATAACTGTTTACCTGTAGTGGGAATCTATTTAGTTGTAATAAATAGTACTTCTCCTTAAGTACTGAAACCTGGTCTATGCTTTCCGTTAACCTGGGTCCAAAAGACAGGTATACTCAGGAATTTTATGGACTTCTTTAAAATCTTTAACTTTTGCCGGGAAAAACGGGGCTTCATTTCCAGTTTGCTACCCTCATTAGATGTGACACTAGGTGCCAGTGAGGTCCAATCTAGGGAGCCATGCTGCACAACTGCAGGGCATCTTGTAGAAGGTACACACTGCTGGTACTGTATGTCAGTGGTGGAGTGTATAAATGTTGGTGGATGGGGTGCCAATTAAACGGGTGACTTTGTCCTGGATGTGCCAAGGCTATTTATGTGTTGCTGAAGATTCATTCATCCAGCCAAGTGGGGAATATTCCATCACACTCTTGACCTATGTCAAGTTGATGATGGACAGACAAACTGCAGATCAGTTGCCTTGACCTAATCTTGTAGCTACTGTATTTATATAGACAGTCCAGTTAAATTTCTGGTCGATGGGAAAATCCCAGGATGCTGATAGTGGGGGAATTTGGTGATAATAATACCATTGAATGTGAAGGGGGCAATAGTTAGATTTTTTCTTGTGGTCATTGCCTGGCACTTTATGGCCCTAATGTTACTTGCCGCTTGTCAGCCCAACCTGAATATTGACCAGATCTTGCTGCATTTGAACATGGACTGCTTCAGTATCCGAAGAATCACAAACAGTGCTGAACATTGTGCAATCATTGGCGAACATCCCCGCTTCTGACCTTATGATGGAGGGAAATCATTGATGAAGCAATGGAAGATGGTTGGGCCTAGGACACTACCTTGAGAAACTCCTGCAGAGATATCCTGGAGCTGAGATCATTAGCCTCCAACAACAACAACCATCTCCCACCGTGTGAGAAACGGTGTGATATGATTCAAACAGTAAATAGCTTTCCCCTCTTTCCCTATAACTGCAATTTAGTCAGGGCTCCTTGATGCTACGTTCTGTCAAACATTACGTTGAGATCAAGGGCAAGTTACTTTCACCTTGCCTCTGGAGTCTCTTTCAGGAGAGGGAGAGCAGGTTAGAAATTGAGAGGGAATAAAGTTTAGAATCTAGACTGCTGACGATACTGCTACCAAAAATGAGGCAAATGAGCCAGAGGATTAGACATGGGCCAGAATTGGAGGAAAATCTGAGAGGGTTGGAGGATTTTATGGAAGTGAAGTTGGGGTGAGGCAATGGACAGATTTATATCCAAGAACAGGAATTTTAAAACTGAGATACTCCTGGTGTGAGAGTGAGTGGATGAGCACACAGTGGGCTGGGGATCATCGGGATTCAGTACCATTTAGGATTTAGGCAGCAAAGTTTTTGATGAGATCAGGTGTAGCTGAGGGCAGGTACATGTGATGCCAGTCAGGAGAACATTGGAACAATCATGCCCAGAAGTCTCACAGGTATGGCTGTGATTAACACACAATGTGTGTTTAAAACAATTATTGGCTTTACCTCTCCCATCTTTGTGTAATCAAGTTGAGTGACCATCATTAGCATTATTTCTCTCATTCAGTCGATGACGTAGTTTAGCTTTGTTCCAATCAGTGATTTTCCTCTCCTCTTGCTTTTTCCTCAGAGATTTATTTGCAAGATTCCTTTAAGAAACTGGTCAGTATCTCCCCAAATGACAGGTAAAATGATTATTCTGGGTGATTGGAACAGCAGTTTGTCCAGTTTGATTTCACTATTACAGACACTGGTTTAACCACAGAGAAATTATAGGACCTGGCCGTGTTTTTATTCTTGGGAGGTAGGCAACAATAAGAAGATGTTGGTGCTGCCCTTGTCCTTCAAGGTGGTAGGAGTCATAAGTTTGGAAGCTGCTGTTGGAGGAGCCTTGTTGCAGTACAATCTAGACACAGCACTCACTGCAGACAAGGTATTGGCTGTGAAGGGACTGAATGTTTAAACTGTTGGATGCTCTTAGCATAGGACAGACTCCTTTTTGAAGAGGAGCTGGTTCGAGCCTACTAGAATCCAATGTTTAAAAAGGTTTGCATTTTTGTTTGTAACATTGCTGCAAAGCACTATGCAACAGAGTGAGTACTTTTGAAGTGCTATCCTGGTGGGAAGTATGCAGTTTGGTGACTTGCATACAGCTAGCTCCTACAAAGAGTCATGTGAGAAAATCTTGGGGATTAAGTAAAAGATAACTATTGGCCAAGATTTTAAGATGAGAATTCCCTTGTTCTCCTTTCAGAATAGCGTAGTGGGACTCTGGGATGACAACTGTTTATAAGACAGTATCTCTGACAGTGCAATTCCACACCAGGGGCTCGGTGACCTGCTCAGATCTTGCAGAATGGGATTTGAAATTATAATCTCTGACTCTGAGATGATAGTCTGACTGACCAATGGCCAGTCATCTACAAGCAGTGCTGTGCTGATAGGATTCTATCACCAATCCCACACCTGAGCTATATTGAGTCGTGCTGCGAGATAGTAGTTGAATAGCGGTGAATGATGTGCGAGTAAAACATGAAAAACAGGTGTAGGTGTAGCAGGAGCAGGTGTAGACCATTCAGCTATTTGAGCCTGCTCCGCCATTCAGTGTGATGATGGCTGATCCTCTATCTCAATGCCATGTTCCTGCTTTCTCCCCATAACCCTTGATGCCTTTAAAATATAAACATTTATCAATCTCTTCCTTGATTACATTCAACACAAAAGACAATGAACCCATGCCATATCAGCAAGGTTCAGGCTGATCTAATCATATTGATGTCCATCCTTTTTGTAATGAGGAAGGTTAACATTCTTGTGAAATGCAATGACTTGTGTGATTCTAATCTATCCATGTCTTTTTTTTCAATTTAGCCTATTTGATGCAGTTTACTCTCTAATTCAGAATAAAATTCATCGGCTTCCAGTCATTGACCCTGTATCTGGGAATGTTCTCTATATCGTGACACACAAACGCATCCTGAAGTACTTCTACCTCTTTGTAAGTTTCTTGACTGCATTATGTTTAAAGATAAGCAATGGGATTGGCCCGAAAACTAGAATTGTTGTTCTTACAGCAGAGAAGGCGAAAGAGAGATACAAGTGAGTTCTTCAAAATCATGAAGTGGTTTTGTTTGAGTAAATACAGAGAAACAGCTTTTACCAACAGGAGGCTTCATTACAGAGGACACAGACATAACATAATGGAGAAAAGAACCAGAGGGGAGATGAGAATATTTTTACACAGCCAGTTTTTATGATCTTGGCAAATGGAGTCAAAGAGCCATAGAGAAGTAGAACACGGAAAGAGACCCTTTGGTCTAACCTGTCTATGCTGACCAGGTATCCTAAATAAATCCGGTCCCATTTGCCAGCATTTGGCCCATATCCCTCCAAACCCTTCCTATTCATGTACCCATCCAGATGCTTTTAAAATGTAATTGTACCAGCCTCCACCATTTCCTCTGGCAGCTCGGTCCATACATGCACCACCCTCTGCATGAAAAAGTTTCCCCTTAGGCCCCTTTTAAATCTTTTCCCCTTTCACCTTAAACCTATGCCCTCTAGATTTGGACTCTCCTACCCTGACAAACGGACTATTCACCGTCTCCATTGCCCCTCATGACGTTATAAACCTCTATAAGGTCACCCCTCAGCCTCTGATGCTGGAATACAATTATCTGACTAGTGCTTTGTAAAGTTTTAGCAAAACCTCCCTGGTTTTAGACTCTATTCCCTTTGAAATAAAGGCCAACATTCCACTTGCCTTCCCCGTTACCCCACGAATTTTGATGCTAACGTTTTGCAATGGAAGATAATGTGGGAAAATGTGAGGCTATGCACTTTGACAGGAAGAGTAGAGAAGCTGAATGTTATTTAAATGGGGATAGATTGCAGAAAGCCACAGAACAGAGAGATTTGGGGGTCTGTGCCCATAAATCGCAAAAGGTTAGCATCAAAGGCTGTTTCCCCTTGTGGGAGAGTCCGGGGCCTGAGGACATCATCTCAGAATGTCACATGTTTGAGAGGGAGATGAGGAGAAACCTCTTTTCTCAAATGGTGATGAACCTGTATATTTAAAGCAAAATTAGACAGATTTTTAATCAGAAAAGGAATGCAGGGTTATAGGGAAAAGGTAGGAAAGTGGATTTGAGGATTATCAAATCAGCCATGATCTCATTGAATAGTAGAGGAGATTCAATCAGCTGAAAGGCTTTCTCTGTTCCTATGTCTTATGCTCTGTCTAGAATGTGTGGCCTGAAAGAGCAGTCGAAGTAGAATCATTCTTAACATTCAAAAGGGTATTGGATAATTACACGCAAAGTACAATTTACAGGACTATAGAAAAACTACAGCAAAGCAGAACCAATTGGAATGCTCATTTAAAGAACTAGCACAAGTATGATGGGCCACATGATCTTGCCTGCGCTGCACAAATGGGAACTTGGAAGAGGCATAAGAACGTAAGAACATTGATATGTGCTGGAACCAGGGAGAAAACACACCACTGGTTGGAGTCATACCTGGCACGTAGGAAGATGGTCGTGGTTGATGGAGGTCAGTCGTCTCAGCTCCAGGACATCCCTGGAGGAGTTCCTCAGGGTAGTGTCCTAGGCCCAACCATCTTCATGTTGCTTCCCTCGATTAAGATGTCAGAAGTGGGGATGTTCAAATAGGGTAAATGGAGTATAATGTGGGAAATTGTAATGTTTTAGCAGGAAAAATACAAGAAAAGAGCACATTATCTAAATGTTGAAAGAGGGATCTTGGTGTCCCAGTGTGTGAAGGCTAATATGCAAATAAAACAAGCTAATAGAAAGTCACTGGTTACTACAAAGGAAATTGAATACAAAACGTTATCCTTAGTTATACAGGGAACTGGTGAGACCGTATATGGAGTACTGTGTGTAGTATTGGTCTCATTATTTAAGGAAGTTTGTAAATGTAAATGAACATGGGTTGATTTATGATGAATGGTTGGATGGACTAAACTTGTATCCACTGGAATTTAGAGTAAGAGACAATTTGAGTGAAGCAGAAAGATCCTGGGGTGGACGTAGAGGGTATGTTTTCTCTTGTGGGAGAATCCAGAGCCAGGGGTCACTGTTTTAAAATAGAAGATTGTGTGCATTTAAGACAGAAATGAGACAACATTTATTCTACTGCAGAAGAAACATACATGGCAAGGCCAGTTGAGTTTCTGGGTTTTTTTTTTAATAGTGGGGTATTTAGTGATGGTAACATTATTGAATATTAAGGAATGGTCGTTGCCTACACTTTCTGGTGTGAATGCTACCTGTAATTTATCAACCCAAGCCTGGATATTGTCCAGGATTGCTGCATTTGCATTTGAATATGAACTACTTCAGTATCTGAGGGGTTTTGAATGGCGCTGAACATTGTGCAATCATTGGTGAACATTCCCACTTCTGACCTAATGATGGAGAGAAGGTCATGTTGAAGCAGCTGAAGATGGTTGGGCCTAGGACACTACCCTGTGGAACTCCTGCAGTGATTTCCTGGAGCTGAGGTGACTGACCTCCAACAACCATAACCATCTTCCTACATGCCAGGTATGACTTCAACCAGTGGAGAGTTTATCTCCTGATGCCCATTGATTTCAGGTTTGCTAGGGCTCCTTGATGCTATGGTTGAATGTGGTCTTGATGTTGAGGACAGCCACCCTCACTTCACCTCTGGAATTCAGCTCTTTTGACCATGTTTGAACCAAGGCTGTAATGAGGTCAGGAGCTGAGTGTCCCTGGCGGAACCCAAACTGGGCATCACTGAGCAGGTTATTGCTGAGCAGGTGCTGCTTGATAGCACTGTTAGTGACACCTTCCATCACTTTACTAATGATTGAGAGTAAACTGATGGGGCGGTAATTGGCCGGGTTGGATTTGTCCTGCTTTTTACGTACAGGACATACTTGGGCAATTTTCCACATTGCCGGGCAGATACCAGTGTTATAACTGTACGGGAACAGCTTGGCTAGGGGAGCGGCAAGTTCTGGAGTACAAGTCTTCAGTACTATTGCTGGAATATTGTCAAGGCCCATAGCCTTTGCACGATCCAGTGCCTCCAACTGTTTCTTGTAATCATGTGGAGTGAATCAAATTTGCTGAAGACTGGTATCTGTGATGCAGGGGACCACTGAAGGAAGCTGAGATGGATCATCCACTTGGCACTTCTGGCTGAAAATTACTACCTTATCTTTTGCACTGATGTGTTGGGCTCTTCCGTCATTGAGGAAAGTGATATCTGTGGATTCTCCTCCTACTCCAAGCATTCCATCTGGAACCCTCTGCTGTCAACTTCCTGGAGGTAATCATTGACAAGAAACTGAACAGGACTCGCCACGTCAACTCAGAGGCTACAAGAGCAAATCGGAGGCTAGGAATACTGCAGTGAGTAATTCACCTCCTGACTTCCCAGGTCTGTCCACCATCTACAAGGCACAAGTCAGGGGTGTGATGGCATACTCCCCACTTGCCTGGATGGGTGAAGCCCCAGCAACACTCAAGAAGCTTAACACCATCCAGAGCAAAGCAGCCGCTTGATTGGCACCACATCCACAAGCATCCACTCCCTCCACCACCGACGCTCAGTAGCAGCAGCATTTACCATCTACAAGATACACTGCAGAACTTCACCGTGCCTCCTTAGACATCCCGTACCAAACCATGTGGAAGGACCAGGGTAGCAGATATATGGGGAGTTTCCCTTCAAGCCACTCACTAACCTGACTTGGAAATATATCACCGTTCCTTCACTGTCACTGGGTCAAAATCTGAGAGTTCCCTCCCTGAGGGCATTGTGGGTCAACCTACAGCACATGGATTGCAGCGGTTCAAGAAGGCAGCTCACCACCACCTTCTCAAGGGGGCAATTAGGGACGGGCAATACCTGCTAGTCCAAGCAGATACAGCCACGTCCGATGATGGACTAAAATATTATTAGATTTAGGAGGTGGAGGCCATTTGGCCCTTCTAGATTGCTTCACCATTAAACAGGCCAGTGGCTTATTCAGCCTCAGCTCCACCTCTCTGCACTCTTCCCTTTTTCCCTTCCTTACCATTGTTTCCCAAAAAAATCGACAGTGTGTTCTAGATTCCCTAAGCCAGGAAATATTTGGTCAGAATGAATCACCTCGCAAACCTCTACATGTGTTCCTACCAACTTCCTGCATTGTGAAAGATCATTCAGAGGGCCTCCCTGGGGGGGCCTGCTCCTTGGCCTGGCCAAAGTGTTGTAAGAAGATCTGTGCAGTGGGCCATTGTACCAAACTGCCTGCCTGCCCCTCTACCCCAGTTATGGCTGTGCCAAGGTGCCCTTGCAGAGGATAAACACAATGTCCACTGTACATAGAAACACAGGAGCAGGAGGAGGCCATTTGGCCCTTCGAGCTTGCTCCGCCATTCACCACGATCAGGGCTGATCATCCAACTCTGTAGCCTAATCCTGCTTTCTCCCCACAACCTTTGACTCCACTCGCCCCCAAGTGCTATATCTAGCCGCCTCTTGAATATATTCAAAGTTTTGGCATCAACTACTTCCTGTGGCAATGAATTCCACAGACTCACCTTTCACTTCGATTACCGATGGGCATTACTGGGGATTTGTAAACTTATTCACTCACGAGATGTGGTCATCTCTGGCTAGGCCAGATTTATTGCCCATCCCTAATTGTCCAGAGGGCAGTTAGGAGTCAACCACGTTGCTGTGGGTCTGGAGTCACATGTAGCCAACTACGTAAGGATGACAAATTTCCTTCCCTAAAGGGCATTAGTGAACCGGACAGATTCCCAACCCACACCCCTTCCAACCCCGAGAACGAAGGGTAGTTTCATGGTCATCAATAGACTCTTAATCAATTGAATGGAATCAATGGAATTTATTATTGAATTCAAATTCCACTACATACCATGGTGGGATTCGAACCTGGGTCCCCAGAACGTGGGCTGAGTTTCTGGATTAATATCTAGTGATCATACTGTTAGGCCATTGCCTCCCCCATGGCTGGGATCCATCATCACCACAAGATGACATTTCAATTTAAATGATTAAGTTCCTTTGGGATTTTATGTTGTGTTACAGAGTTAAGAGACTAGCAATTATTAATTTGGTTCAGCTTGGTTTTACTGGAGTTCATTAATTAATTTATCAAATAGTATGAAAATAGACTTTGAGGACACTGGGTCTTAGTTAGATAATAGGCTGATAAAAGCACTTCTACATTCCATAAATAAGCCAGATATTAAGAAAAAAAGCTTAGCGTTTGGTTTCCCATTACACATCTGGCCCGCTTGCTTTGGAATAAATTAACAGATGTGTTATCTTTTAGAAATCATTAATAAAAGAAATATAGCCTTGATTCCCTCTTCTCTCGACCCCCTTAACCAAACAAAACAAAAGCTTTCTCAGCACTGGGACACTAGGTTATGTCTAGTACTCTGCTAAGATCCAAGGAGGAGAGGAACAGGAAGAGGCCATTCAGCCTCTTAAGCCTATACCAGCCTTCAGTTACATCATAGCTAAACTGTATCTTACCTCCATTTACCGCTACTGTTTACTTGGTCAATTTCTCTTACTTCCCTTGCTGGGCCATGAAACTACCCTTCATTCTCCAAAAAAAACTTTGTCACTTTCAGTTTTGAACCTTCAATTCACTACCAACCTCAACACCTTTTCCTTCAGCAAGGTACCAGTTTCAGGATCTGTTTGCTGTTTGGAGCTGCTTGCTAGCATTAACTCCTGTCTCGTACACACCACTTTTAAAATTATTGGGATGTGAGAATCCATTGGCCAGGCCAACATTTATTGCCCATCCCTAATCGCCCAGAGAGCAGTTAAAAGTCACCCACATTGATATGATCTGGAGTCACAAGTAAAGAATTTCCTCATTAGTGAATCAATTTTTTTTAATAACAACCAGCAATAGCAAAGGCCAGCATTCCATCCCAATGGTCAGATTTGAAGTCACAATGTCCAGCACAATAAGCTGGCGTTCTGGAATATGAACCCACTGATGTTACCACTACACCACCATTATCCCACTGAAAATACTGCTTTATTCTACTCAACGTTAAAATAGTTTACAACTACCATCATAACTTTCACTTATACAGTGTCATCAAATCTCTTTATTGTAATATAATGTCCAATAGCCAACGATCTCTATTAGAACATTATGAAATAAATTTGACACTCTGCCACATAAAGAAATAATGGTACAATGCTCAGTCAAAGAGAGAGGGTTTATGAGAATATGAACAGGGACCAGAGTAAGCCATTCAGCCTCTCAAGTTTTCTCTACCACTTAATAATATCATGGTTTATTTGATTGTAACTTCAAATCCACATTCCTGTACACCCCTTAATAACCTTTTACCTCTCTTGCTTACCAAGTATCTATCTACCTGTGCTTCCATCACCTGCTGTAATACTTGCTTGGTCTAAGCAGTGTTTTAGAGGAGGAAGGTGTGTTAGAGAGGGTGGGGAGGTTGTGGGAGATGTTGCAGCATGGAGTGCACAAACAGTTGAAGGCTTTGCTGCCAATGGTGGAAGAATTGAAACTGGGAATCTGAAACATGCCAGACGAGAGAGAGCACAAAGATCTTGCAGAGTTGTGGGACTGGAAGAGATGATTGATCCTGGAAGGATTCAAAAACAAGGATGAGAATTTTTAAACTGAAGCATTTGTTGGACTGGGAACCAATCAAGCACAGGGTGAAGGGTGAACGAGATTTGGTGTGAATGGGGATACAGGCAGCAGAATTTATATGAGCTCAAATCTAGGAAATGAGTTATATAGAAATTCCTTGAGTCATCTTAAGTGCCTTGGTTAGACCATCCCTCAATCTCTCAAACCATGACTGTCATCATCACCTAAGAATTGAAAGTATGTCCATCATGGTCTGTATCATTGCAGCATATCTCATTTGATTGAATTTTTGAGTTTATTCTGACAAAATCCATTTCATTGATCTCTCTGCCCAATTCCATTTCCTTCCAGGCCTCAAAGCTGCCCAAGCCGAGCTTTATGAAGAAGACATTACAAGAGCTTGCAATTGGGACGTACGAGGATATAGCCGTGATAGAGGAGACATCATCAGTTTATGAAGCACTTGGGATCTTTGTGGCGCGAAGAGTGTCTGCTCTTCCGGTGGTGAACAAGCTGGGTAAGTAAGAGGGAGGTACGGGATAGGAGTGAACAGGATGTGAATAAATAGTGGCCCTGGACAAACAACAGAGACCAGAATTGAAACAGAAGTTGCTGGAAAATCTCAGCAGGTCTGGCAGTATCTGTGGAGACAAATCAGAGTTAATGTTTCGGACTGTATAAGAACATAAGGAATGGGAGCAGGGGTAGGCCACCTGACCCATTGAGCCTTCTCTGCCATTCAATAAAATCATTGCTGATGTTTTCATGGACTCATCTCCACTAACCCACCCACTCATCATAACCCTTATTTCCTTTACTGTTCAAAAATCTATCTATATTTGCCTTAAAAATGTTTAATGAGGAAGCCTCATCTGCTTCACTGGGCAGGAATTCCACAGATTCACAACCCTATGGGTGAAGAAATTCCTCCTCAAATTAAATCTGCTCCCCCTTATTTTGAGGCTATGCCCCCTTGTTCTAGTTTCACCCGCCAACAGGAACAACCTCCCTGCTTCTGTCTTATCTATTCCCTTCATAATTTTATATTCTATAACAGCCTCCCCCATTTTTTAAAATTCCAATGAGTATAGCCCCAGTCTACTCAATCTCTCCTCAAAAGCCAACCCTCTAAACTCCAGAACAACCTAGTGAACATCCTCTGCAACCCCTCCAATGCCAGTACATCCTTTCTCAAGTAAGGAGACCAAAACTGTATGCAGTACTCCATGTTGTGATATCAGTTTAAGAGAGAACATACTAATGAGCATGCAACCAGAATTAAGAACACGTGATTTGCAGTTATTATTAACATAGCCTGCAGCGTGCCATAGAGTCATAGAGCTGTACAGCATGGAAACGGACACTTCAGTCCAATTCATCTATGCCGATCAGATATCCTAAATAAATCTGGTCCCATTTGCCAGCATTTGGCCCATATCTCTCTAGACCCTTCTTATTCATGTACCCAACCAGATACCTTTTAAATGCTGTAATTATACCAGCTTCTGCCACTTCCTCTGGCAGCTCATTCCATACATGCTCTTGTGTGAAAAGGTTGCCCCTTAGGTCCCTTTTAAATCTTTCCCCTCTCACCTTAAACCTATGCCATCTAATTTTGAACTCCTCCACCCTGGGGAAAAGACCTTGTCTGTTTACCTTATCCATGCCCCTCATGATTTTACAAACCTCTATAAGGTCATCCCTCAGCCTCCGATGCTCCAGAGAAAATAGCCCCAGCCTATTCAGCATCTCCCTATAGCTCAAACCATCCAACCCCGGCAACATCCTTGTAAATCCTTTTCTGAACCTTTCAAGTTTCACGACAGGTTTTCTATAGCAGGGAGACCAGAAATGCATGCGTTATTCCAAAAGTGGCCTAACCAATGTCCTGTACAGCCGCAACATGACGTCCTAACTCTTATACTCAATGCACTGACCTATAAAAGAAAGCTTATATTGTGAAGCGGTGATGGTATGCTTTCTTATGACAATAGTTACTTAGCTTCTGTAACAAATCTGTTCTCTGGTCAACCTTGTAACAGATCTTAAAGTAAACAGAACCTACAACATAGTCGTCTACTAATCCTTGTGCAAGGTTGAAGAGTTTGTAAGCACAAGATTGCAACACTATATGGTCACAGAGATTTAAAAAACCCGGATATACTTGTGTTCATATACCTGCTGTTTCAGCCAGTGTCCAGGGAAATGTTCCTAGTTCATTATAATTCCAATGGGATACCTCCAAATGGTTATGTTCCCAGGCAAGGGGGATAAACCGGCTCCCCTTCCATTCTCTTGGTGGGTCACAACAAGCTTAATTTAAAATTAAGTGGAAAGAGAAATTGCTGGAGAAACTCAGCTGGTCTGGCAACAATTATGGAGAGCGAAACTAACTTAACGTTCTGAGTTATTTCGGATTTCCAGCATCTGCTGTATTTTATTTTTATTTCATTTAAAAAAATTCCGTCTCCTCATGGACACCTTTACCCAGCCCAACTCTAGTAATGCTTTAAAAAGATCCAATTTATAAGTTTACTTAAGTTAAAGAAATAGTGAGATTTTTATGTTAAAACTTGAAAAAAAAGGTAACAAGATGTGATGTACATACATGTGGAATAGAAATGTAAAGTGAGTCCAAAAAAAAACAGCTTTTGGTTTGTTTGTGATGAAGATTGTGAAGGTTTGGGGCCATTAGGTGGGTGATTCTGGTATTTCTTACTTGGTAGTTGAGCAGTTGTTTGGAAATTCTTGGCTCTGCAGTTAGCTGAAAGGAGTTTGTCCAGTTTCCTTAAATAATGGCTTTGCTGGTAACTTGTTTTCAGCAGTCAGAGAGAGGAAGAGGCTTTATTTCTTTTTAATAACTGGGAGAACTGTGGATGCTGTAAATCAGAATCAAAACTGTAAATTGCTAGAAAACCTCAGCAGGTGTGGTAGCACCTGTGGAAAAGAATCAGAGTTGAACTCAACCCGAAACGTTAACTCTGATTTCTCTCCACAGATGCTGCCAGACCAGCTGAGCTTTTCCAACAATTTCTACTTTTTAAATTTCTTTTTACCTGCACATGCAGGATGTCCAGTGTAAGTTCTCAGCTGTGCCTCTTCATGGTACAGAGGAACTTTAATCAAAAGCTGGCACATCTGCTCTGTAGCACACCAATACACAGAGACCAAGTTTGCAGAGATAGTAAGAACTGCTGATGCTGGAGTCAGAGATAACACAGTGTGGAGCTAGAGGAACACAGCAGGCCAGGCAGCATCAGATGAGCAGGAAAGCTGACCATTTCTGAAGAAGGGTCCCGACCCAAAACATCAGCTTTCCTGCTCCTCTGATGCTGCCTGACCAAGGTTTGCAATTTTTAAAAAAACTTCCTTTCTTACATATTCCTGGAAAGTTAAAACCCAAGCAAGTCTTTCACCCAAACTGCCTTTCCACACTTTAAGGGGAGGCAATGGCCCAGTGGTATTCTCACTGGACTGTTAATCCAGAGACCTAGATAATGTTCTGGAGACCCAGGTTTGAATCCCATCATGGCAGATTGTGGAATTTGAATTCAATAAAAATATCTGGATTTAAGAATCTAGTGATGACCATGAATCAATTGTTAGGAAAATCCCATCTGGTTCACTCATGCCATTTAGGGAAGGAAACTGCCATCCTTACCTGGTCTGGCCTACATGCGACTCTGGACCCACAGCAATGTGGTTGACTCTAAACTGCCCTCTGGGCAATTAGGGATGGGCAATAATTGCTGCCTGGTCAGCAACACCCTCATCCCGTGAATGAATAAAAGAAAAAAAAATAAAGAAACTCATGTCAACAGCCTGTGACACAGTCCATAGGAGATCCCTCTTCAGTTTTTTGAATGGTATCTCTCCATTTGAAGTGTTGCTGTTTCAAGGTCCTTTGACACTTGTCAAGTGTGACATTCCATAATGCTTCTCAGGACTCAGTGGAATCCATAGAGGCATATTAGACAGCAAATGAATTTACATCCTCAGTCATCTTTTGGCTTATAGTCTTTTTTAAGAGACACATGTTGCACTTAGAAGTTCAAAAACTTATGTAAGTAATTCAGGGTTACGATCTGTTGTCATGACACTGCTTTCATTAGTTTGTAGTACAGTGATTACTTTCTGATTTACTTTTCCTTTTATTCCAGGTAAAGTTGTGAATCTCTACTCACGATTTGATGCTATAGTAAGTACTGGAGATCTGAACAGTCAGGTCCACACTTGTTGGATCTAATCCTACAGTAATTAGGAGACTGGGGCCTGTCCTGTGTTCAGAGTTTGTACTTTGACCAAAATGAACCTTCCTGCTCTCCAAGGAGTTTTTAGTGATTGATGGCCCATATGTACAACAACAATAACCTGCACTTATATGACAGCTTTAAGATAGTAAAATGTTCTAAGGTGCTTCACAAGAGCAATAACCAATCAAAATGTGAGACCGAGCCCATAAAGAAATATAAGTGGTGAAAAGTTGCAGCATGCTGCTGTGCAGAGGCACCTGGGTGTCCTTGTGCATGAATTACAAAACTTTGGTTTGCGTGTGTAGTGGGTAATTAAAGCAGCAAATGGAATATTGTCCTTCATTGCTAGAAGGATGGAGTTTAAAAATAGGGAGGTTATACTGCCACTGTATAAGGTGCTAGTGAGGCCACACCTGGAGTACAGTGTACAGTTTTGGTCTCCTTACGTGAGAAAGGATGGACTGGCACTGGAGGGGGTGCTGAGAGGTTGATTCCAGAGTTGAGGAGAGGGTTGGCTTATGAGTAGAGATTGAGTAGACCGGGACTACTCACATTGGAACTTAGAAGAATGAGAGGAGATCTTATGGAAATCTATAAATTTATGAAGGGAATAGATGAGATAGAAGCAGGGAGATTGTTCCCATTGGCAGGTGAAACTAGAACTAGGGGGCACAGCCTCAAAATAAGAGGGAGCAGATTTAGAACTGAGTTGAGGAGGAACTTCTTCACCCAAAGAGTTGTGAATCTGTGGAATTCCCTGGCCAGTTGAGGCTATCTCATTGAATTTTTCTAAGGCAAAGTCAGATAGATTTTTGAACAGTAAAGAAATTAAGGGTCATGATGAACGGGCGGATAAGTGGAGCTGAGTCCATGAATAGATTAGCCATGAACAACCATACTCACTGGAATTTAGAAGAATGAGAGGAGATCTTATAGAAACCTCAGTTCTGAGGAAGAGTCGCCGGACTTGAAACATTAACTCTGATTTTTCCTTCACAGATGCTGCCAGACTTGCTGAGCTTTTCCAACAACTTCTGGTTTTGTTCCTGATTAACAGCATCTGCAGTTCTTTCAGGTTTTATTTAAAAGATCAGCCATGATCTTATTGAATGGCGGAGCAGGCTCGAAGTGCCAGATGGCCTACTCCTGCTCCTGTTTCTCGTATTCTTATGCAAATATGAAGGCAAGTGATCAAAAGCTTGCACAAAGTGGTAAGCTTTTAAGAAGTGCCTTAAAGGTGGAGAAGGAGGTGAAGAGGTTTGGGAAGAAATTCGAAAGTTTTAATCAAGTTAGAGGACTTTGGTGACCTTGGAGGATTGTAAGGTTGGAGGAAGTCACAGAGGTTGGCAGGGGTGAGGCCATGGCAGTATTTGTAAACAAGGGTGAGAATTTTAGGTGAACCCTTTAGCTTGTTTTTGCTGAAGAGAATTCAGGAGGTCGCCCAATATATAAGTTATGGTCACAGTAAGAACATTTACTACAAATATGTTCATTGTTTCTATGCTCAGTGGACAGTATCTGAATCAGAACATTTTATATTCGAATCCCATGAGCGTTAAGTCCAGACTGATACTCCAATGCAGCACAGTGGGAATACTGCTCTGTCTGAGGTGCTGTCTTTTGAATAAGATGTTCATCTGAGACCTCATCTGTCCTCTCAAGGTGGGGTTTGCAAAGATTTGAAGACAGGAAGAAACTGTCCTGGGTGTCCCGACTAAGATTTAACCCTCAACCAAACAGAACGTCATTAAAGAAAAACTTGGTGATTAAACACATTGCTGTTTATGGGATTTTGCTGTGAATTAATTACCATCAATAGAAACTACTTTTGGTTGCAAAGCTATTGGAAGGAAGTAAATACATGAAAAGATTTTCTTTTGAGATTGTTGGTTGTTGTAACTGATGTATGTACTTGCTGACTTAGACTGATTGGCAATAGAATAGAATAGAATTAGCTAGAATGGAATAAAATATAAACAAACTTTTTATATTCTTGTCAATATGATTGGGATATTTTGAAAATTTTGGAAATTATCACCTCAGTGCAGGATTTTACTCTTTGCACTTGGTGCCAGGTCAAGAACATGGGCTGGATCAACTTACTACAACCCTTTCCCTAAAACAGCCTTTTATCTGATATTAAATCTAACTGTTGAGGCCAGCTTTTTATTTGCGTTTGTTCCTGAGTAACAACGCTGCACTGAAGTCCCACGACTGAGGATGATTGGCATCCAACAAATACAACCATCTACCTTTGTGTTGGACATGACTCCAAGTAGTGAAGAGTTTTCCCCTCGATTACCATCCAGACTGGTCTCCGTGATGCCAAACTTAATTAAGTGCGGCCTTGACATCGAGGGCACTCACTCTCACCTCACCTCTGAAATTCGGCTTCCCTACTAACTCGTTCACAGGATGTGGGCACTGCTGGCTAGGCCAGAATTTATTGTCCGTCCCTAATTGCCCAGAGGGCAGTTAAGAGTCAACTACATTGCTGTGGTTCTGGAGTCACAGATAGGCCAGACCAAGTACGGACCTCACAGTTTCCTTCCCTAAAGGACATGAATGGACTCGATGGGTTTTCCCCAGTTTTATAGTCATCATTAGAATCTTAATTCCAGATTTTTACTGAATTCAGATACCATCCTCTGCCATGGAGGGCTTTGAACCTAGGTCTCATTTAGCAATACGCTACTAGGGCATTATCTTCCCTTTTGTCCATGTCTGGTCCAAGGCTGTAATGAGGTCAGGAGCTGAGTGGCCCTGGCAGAACCCAAACTGGGAGTCAGAGAGCCATAAGTGCATTTTCCATTACGTCCCTGATGACTGAGAGTAGACTGATGGAGCAGTAATTGGAGACAGGAAGGTAGATGGTGGCTGGTGATTAAATAGAGTGATTAAAGCTGGCCAACATTGTCAAACATTCTTTATCCTTTCTCCAGAATCTCGCTGCACAGAAAACTTACAATAACTTGGATGTCAGTGTGAAGGAGTCACTACAGCAGCGATGGCATTGCTTTGAAAATGTCCTCAAATGTTATGCACACGAGACACTGGAAGTCATTATTGAGCGTCTTGTCAAACATGAGGCAAGTACCCAATGACTCAGGATTTCTTCATCCTATTCATCATGAATGGTTTAGGAGACAATATAGAACCATAGAATCCCTACAGTGTGGCCATTCGGCCCATCGAGTCCACACCGCCGCTCTCACCCAGTCCCTCCAACCTGCCCTATCCTTGTAACCCTGCATTTCCCATGGCTAATCCACCCATTCTACACATCCCTCTTGTGGGACAATTTAGCATGGCCAATCCATGTAGCCTGCACATCTTTGGCCGCTGGGAGAAATCCGGAGCACCCGAAGGAAACCCTTGCAGACACAGGGAGAATGTGCAAACTCCACACAGACAGTCGCCCGAGGTGGAATCGAACCCAGGTCCCTGGTGCTGTGAGGCAGCAGTGTTTCAACAGTTTTTATCAATAGAACAACAGTTGATGCCCGAGAGTGAGTAAGGGACTGAAATCTGTTCAGGTGATTCACAGTTTGTGTGTTGGAATCTAATCATAAGGTTTTGGGAAAAGGGTTTTATAAATATATATATAAAAAGATACCTGGGAATGAGTTATAGACTGGAATCTAATTGAAGGGATTAGGGTGGTATATATATATGCAGGGAGGATGTTCCTGATGGTGGGTGTGACCAGAACCAGGGGTCACAGTCTAAGGATTTGGGGTAGGCCATTTAGGACAGAGATGAGGAGACATTTCTTCACCCAAAGAGTGGTGAGCCTGTGGAATTCATTACCACAGGAAGTAGTTGATGCCAAAACACTGAATGTATTCAAGAGACAACTATACTTAGTAGTTGGGGATCAAAGTTTTTGGAGAAAAAGCAAGATTAGGCCATTGAGTTGGACGATCAGCCATGATCATAAAGAATGGTGGAGCAGGCTCGAAGGGCTGAATGGCCTCCTCCTGCTCCCTATCTTCTATGTTTCTATAGTTCTATGTAAGAGAGGTGTGAGTTACAGACTGGAATATAATTGAGAGGTTCAGGTGGTTATATATAAAATAACAGATAGCTGGGAGTGAGTTATAGAGAAGAATCTAATTAAGGAGTTTGGAGGATTTATATATAAAATGGCAGATACATGGGAGTGAGTTACAGACTGCAATCTAATCATAGAATCCCTGCAGTGGAGAAGCAGGCTTATTGGCCCATCAAGTCCATACCAACCCTCCGAACAGAGCCACCATGCTCCTGTGCTGTGCTATTTATAAATAGAATAGCAGATGCCCAAGGGTGATTTACATACTGGAATGAAATTGAGGGATTCAAAGTGGTTTATATGTAAAAAAAAAGGCGCCTGATTGTGAGTTACAGTCTGGAATCTCATCATGGGTATTTGAGCATATACATACCAAATAATTGATACCTTGAAGTGAGTTAAAGGTTGGAGTTTGACCAAAAGGTCTAGAGATGCAGGCACAATGGCTGAATGGTCTCCTTCTATTCAGTGATAATTCTGTGATAAGGATTGAAAGAATTGTATTAATGTGATTAAATACTGAAAGACGGTTCCTCTTTTGAAAGTAACCATTGGCTTTTATACCATTTACCTTAAATATGTGCCAAGTTACTGATCATCATGTCAATGCATTTGTTTCACTTGATGGTCCATCAAAATCCCTCATCATTCTGAACACCTCTGTTAAATCTCCCCTTGGCTATCTTCTGTCTAAGAGAGCATTTCTAGCTTCTCTCTGTCTCTCTATAGATCAGAAGATACCTTATCCTTTGGGCCATTCTAGTAAATTTCCTTAGTACCCTCTCCAGTGCTTAGCCTTCCCAATGGTTGTGTCCTATGCTAAACCCTAACCAGTGATTTGTAAACCTGATGTAATGTAAACTAGAGCATGGGGCATTCTAAAATGAGAGACATGGGCCAAATGCTGGCAAATGGGACTAGATTAATTGAGGATATCTGGGCAGCATGTCCGAGTTGGACTGAAGGATCTGTTAACGCGACGTATATTTCTATGTCTCTATGAGGTCATATTTTTAGGATAAGGGATGCCAGATTTAAAGCAGGTATGAAGAGGAATTACATCTCTCAAAGTGTTGTGAATCTTTGAAATTCACTACCCCAGAGTGTGGTGAATGCTGGGGCATTGATGAAATTTAAGGAGGAGATAGATAGATTATTGTATTAAATGGCGGAGCAGGTTTGAGGGGCCGAATGGCCTGTTCCTAGTTCTTATGTTCTTATTACATTAGTGATGGACTTCCTTTGGTAGGTCTGATCCTGCTTTACAAAAAGGCCTCACAGAAGTTCAGCATACTGGCTAAGATGGATGAAGAAGTGACATTTCCTTGCTTCTCCTCCCTCAGCTGCCTCTTTGTCTTTTCCCTCAGGTTCACCGATTGGTATTCGTAAATGAGGAAGATGTTGTGCAAGGGATTGTCTCACTGTCTGATATGCTCCAAGCACTGGTCTTGTCTCCAGCAGGTATAAATGCTCTTGACTCCTGAACACTCACAAGTCTCCTCTTCTGTCTCATTCTAGACTGATTCAGGTAGGTAGTGAGCTGCTTGTCTCATGGGCTTGATCTGACTGCACTCGAGTGATGACAAGGAATCAGCTCTGGTTGACTGCAGACCGAATATACAATGTATATTATACAATGTCGTTCGCTTCCATGCATCTCCAGTTTCCAATAGTCAACTTCTGTTGAAATTGCATGGACTCTTGCAAAGAGTAGGGATCCGCACTGCATTTTATTTTGACCTGGCTGCACATTCTGTAAATGGAGAGCTTTGGCCCTTACCAACAGATATAGCTTCTGCACAATGCCTATGGTTAACAGCTGTGACAGGTTGTCTACAGTTTGGGGGTTGGAAGAGTGGATGGCCACTTTAGGACCCGAATTGCTTTGTGAGACAGGTCATAATACACCAGCCCGACCCTCAGAACATTTCTCCAGCACGTGCAAGCCAGAAATAGTTCCCACCAGTAAATGTGGAAACCCCAAAGTAATTCTCCCTTCGCTTGTACAAAACCTTGCTGAAATTTATGTACCCTTCTTAGGTGGCTGCAAATGGAGACTAGACAGGGCAAGGAAAAATAAAAGTTTGGAAGACTATTGTCTAATACCCTTCCAGTCTGGATAATCTCATGATCATGAATACATCACTGACATCTATGAGGATACAGTGGTGTAGAGGCAAAATCATTGGTTGGTTATCCAGGATCGAAGGATAATGTCCTGGGGAATATGGGCTCTAATCCCATTATTGTTAAAATTTAAATTTAATAAAAATCGGAAAAAGAGAGTTAGCCTAATGGTGATTATTGTTATGGGCCAAACCAAACTCAGCAAAATATATTAAGAAAGATAGCTTAGACCCCAACATTTTCTTATTTTAAAGGCAGGTGTAAGGCATTGTGTTCTGGATCCAATTCGATTGATCAAATTACCAAGCTTGAAGTAAAACACACTTTATTTTTACACAATACTTAAAATACAAACAAAAGAAAGAAGAATTGGAATAGCTTAACTCTACTGGAAAATTTAACAGCATACAGACCATTTAGCTACTAAACAACAACTGTTCCAATATAGTACTATTTCGTAAACACACCCTTGGCAAAGGCAAATTCAGTAAAACAGATTGTATCACATGCGATTCTAGCAGCAGGAAGAGAACCCCCGGCTTTTAGCTGTAATAAAGAGAGGAAAAATAGCTCCCACATTCACTTTCAAGACCCCTACAAATGCTGAAAGCTAAACCTAAAGCCGTAATTCTGTGGGAGCTTGACCCCACCCCTTCAAGCTGCATCTATTGTTCCAACGTTTAAAAACAAGAATCAAAGCTAGCTGGGTTCAGAGCAGACAGCTTGGCTCCAAGTTTACAACGCTTGCTTTCAAAAGAAACTTGACAAAACAAAGCCTGAGAGGCACACTGGGTAACTATTGGCCATTAAAGAAAATTAGTTCACTAAGGTCCTTTAGGGAAGGAAACTGCCATCCTTACCTGGCCTGGCCTAGATGTGAGTCCAGATTCACAGCAATGTGATTGACTCTTAACTGCCCTCTGGACAAATAGGAATGGACAATGAATGTGGTCCAGCCAGTGACGTCCTCATCCAATGGATGAATAATCAAGCAGCACCTGCTCAGCAATAACCTGCTCAGTGACGCCCAGTTTGGGTTCTGCCAGGGCCACTCAGCTCCTGATCTCATTACAGCTTTGGTTCAAACATGGACAGGAGAGCTGAATTCCAGAGGTGAGGTGAGGTGAGACTGACAGCCCTTGACATCAAGGCTGCATTTGACCGAGTGTGGCATCAAGGAGCCCGAGCAAAACTGGAATCGATGGGTATCAGGGGGAAAATCTCCGGTTGTTGGAGTCAGATCTGACACATAGGAAGGTGGTCGTAGTTGTTGGAGGTCAATCATCTCCAGGACATCTCTGCAGCAGTTTCTCAGGGTAGTGTCCTAGACGCAACCATTTTTATCAATGACTTTCCCTCCCTCATAAGGTCAGAAGTGGGGATGTTTGCTGATGGTTTCACAGTGTTCAGTGCCATTCGTGACTTCCCAGATACTGAAGTAGTCTGTGTTCAAATGCAACAAGATCTGGACAATATCGAGGCTTGGGCTGACAAGTGGCAAGTCACATTTGCACCACACAAATGCCAGGCCAATGAAAGACAATCTAACCACCACCACTCCTTGACATTCAATGGTGTTACCATCACTAAATCCCCCACTATCAACGTCCTGAGGGTTATCATTGATCAAACCTCAACTGGACTCACCACATAAACACAGTGGCTACAAGAGCAGGCCAAAAGCTAGGAATACTGTGGCGATTAACTCATATCCTGCCTCCTCAAAGCTTGTCCACCAACTACAAGACACAAGTCAGGAGTGTGATGGAATAATCCCCACTTGCCTGGATTAGTGCAGCTCCAATAACACTCGAGAAGCTTGACACCATCCAGGACAAAGCAGCCCGCTTGATTGTCATCACATCCACAAGCATCCACTCCCTCCACCACCGACGCTCAGTAGCAGCAGTGTGTACTATCTACAAGATGCACTGCAGAAATTCACCAAAGATCCTCAGACAGCACCTTCCAAACCCACGACCACTTCCATCTAAAAGACAAGAGCAACAGAACTATAGGAACAACACCACCTGCAAGTTTCCCCTCCAAGCCACTCACCATCCTGACTTGGAAATATATCGCTGTTCCTTCACTGTCACTGGGTCAAAATCCTGGAATTTCCTCCCTAAGGGCATTGTGGGTCAACCCACAGCAGCTGGACTGCAGTGGTTCACGAAGGCAGCTCACCACCACCTTCTCAAGGGCAACTAGGGACGGGCAATAAATGCTGGCCAGCCAGCGACACCCACATTCATAAATGAATAACTAAAAAGAAAGAAGCAAAGACTTCATGAACAGTAATGATTAATTGATTTGATTTGGTTTTTTTTTTGGAAAGTCATTGAATAAGCAGTTTCATCTCATTGCAAAATTGTTAATACCCTGTGAAATATTTAAATGAGGTTTCTGTTTAATGTTTGAGGGATGATATCTGAAGGGATCCTCTTCTGACCGGCACAAACATGCAACCAATGATGGTGAGGATGCTGGTTAATGTTGTCAATTCTGATTGGATTATTCCTGGAAGAATCCATTGTGCCTCCACACCTTGCTCCACCTCTACACTTGTTCAAATGGTCACTGTCATGACATGTTATCATCTAACAACCAATCAGAAAGTGAACTGAGTCTCCTGTACCTGATTGGATGCTTCATATACTTCCTGACTTTAAAACTATTCAAAGAAAATGTTTTAAAAATATTCTTTTGTCAATGATTTGTTATTCCAAGAGCTGACACAGAGATCAATCTTAAATTCCTGGAGAATCCCAGACCATTGACTAACCTACCTCAGGTTCCTGTGTGCTCTCCAACTGTGTGAATCACAGTCTGCACCTTTCCCATCTCACACAAATCCATGTGATCCAGAAAAGGCAAAAACTCAAAATAAAATCCAACTCAAATCAGGAGGAAAAGAAAATCGGGTAACCTCTGCTCAAACTCTCTAGAACAAATCCACTCCGGAAGAGTATCCTGGTCTTTAACGATGTTTCCAGGCTCCTACCTGTTAGCTAAGGTGGTTTCCGCTCGGAATAGATCCAGCTCTCACTTCAAGGAATTCAGTGAATCTTATCCACAAGTTCACTGTTCTCTGGGAATGAAACCACCTCCTTACATCTAACATAAGATCTCAATGTGTATGACTTAAAAATTGTGATCACTCTTCCTCCCTGATCTACTTAGATGAAACTAGATGTCAATGTGAACACAGTCTAATCCCTTTCTCAACTTGTAAACACCTTGATCAGATCTATGTCTACATTTCCTATATAATGCCAGCCTTTTGAGCCTATGTTCATAAATGAGATGCCTCAAACAGGGATTGAGTCTAGACATCTACTCTGTACACTCTCCAAAACTCAATTACTGTGTGAAGAGACCCATACTGGGCACACCCTTCTGACTGTGGTCAGGTTAAGCTTTTGTGAACAAAAGATGCTTTGATTTATAATCAATAGTTCAGTAAATGCAAACCAAAACCTTATTCACTCTAGCTATCTCTTTACATTGTTGCTCATGCACATTTGGGAAGTTAGGCACTAGAGATCCCAGACTCTTTCACCATTAACAGGGGAGGCAATAGCCTAATGGTATTATTGCTAGGCTATTAATCCAGAAACTTAGTTAATGTTCTGGGAATCTGGGTTCAATTTGAATTCAATAAAAAGAACCTGGAATTAAGAGCCTAATGATGACCATAAGTCGATTGTCAGGAAAACCTAGTTCATTAGTGCCCTTTAGGGAGGGAAATCTGTCATCCTTACCTGGTCTGGTCTACATGTGATTCCAAACTCACAATAATGTGGTTGACTCTTTACTGTTCTTTCAAATGGAAGAACAAACCACTCAGTTCAAGGACATTGAGGAATGGGCAACAAATGCTGTCCTTGCCAGTGACTTCCACATCCCATGAAAGAATAAAGAAATGAAACTTCAAAATGTTTAAAGTTATCCGTCAGTCAGGACTGCAGGGTATTATCCATAGCCCTGACACCCATACATTTCTTATTAAGATCTTCAAACGTATTCCCCACTGCCTATGTTCATATGTCTAGCTTATTTCTGCCTTGATAACCACAAAATACTGTGGATGCTGGAAATTTGAAACAAGCACAGAGAATGTTGGAGAAACATCAGTTTTGAAGAAGAGTCATATAAGACTTGGAGTCATCAAGATGTACAGCCTGGTTACAGATCCTTCGAACTAACTCGTCCATGCCAACCAGATATCCCAAATTAATCTAGTCCCATTTGCCAGCATTTGGCCCACATTCCTCTAAACCCTTCCTATTCATAAGCCCATCAGATGCCTTTTAAATTTTGTAATTGTACCAGCCTCCACCATTTCCTCTGGCAG